AGCTGTGGTTCTGATAAGAGCTGTCCTTGAAAAAGAGCCACTTCTGTCAAGAGCTCTCTCAGCCCCACCTACCTCGCAGGGTGTCTGTTGTGGGGAGGGGAAGGGAAAGGAGGTTGTCAGCCGCTCTGAGTGAAGGGCGGGGAATAAATCCAATCTCCTCCGCCGCCTCTGCCTCCTCCTCCTCCTCCTTGAGAGCCAGTCTGGGTGTAGTGGTTAAGTGCGCGGACTCTGATGTGGGAGAACCGGGTTTGATTCCCCACTCCTCCACTCGCAGCTGCTGGATGACCTTGGTCAAGCCATAGTTCTGATAAGAGCTGTCCTTGAAAAAGAGCTGTTTCTGTCAGAGCTCTCTCAGCCCCACCCACCTCACAGGGAGTCTGCTGTGGGGAGGGGAAGGGAAAGGAGTTTGTGAGCTGCTCTGAGACTCCCTTGGGTAGTGCGGGGTATAAATCCAATCTCTTCTTCTTCTTGAAAACCCTACGGCAGTGATGGCGAACCTTTTAGAGACCGAGTGCCCAAACTGCGACCCAAACCCCACTTATTTATCGCAAAGTGCCAACACGGCAATTTAACCTGAATACTGAGGTTTTTACTTTAGAAAAAACAACTCATACATTAACTTAAGATGACCCAAACAAAGTAAGGAAAGCAATCCCAAATGCTTTCATTTACTTAAAATTATTTGGCAGAGAATTTGACACTTTAATGATGGTCTGGGCCTGGCTGGGGCGATGGCACGCATGTCCACAGAGAGGGCTCTGAGTGCCACCTCTGGCCCCCGTGCCATAGGTTCGCCACCACTGCCCTACGGGGTTGCCATAAGTCAACTGTCACTTGACGGAGCTTTCCACCACTACAGCCAGAAAGCCTTGGTGCTCGTCCTCCTAGACTTTAAGATACACCTGTGCTGCCATCTTGTGGCCACCAATTGTGGCCGACACACGCCACAGAATTTTAAAAGCCTCTATACAGTCATCTGAAATGGTCATAATCGGAGAGGGCGGGTGTGATGGACTGTTTTTCAAAAGGTTTTTATGATCCCAACGTGCCAGTTTCCTACTGAGTCCTACTGACGCAGTAGGAAAATGGCACGTAGAGAAGAGATCATAAAAACCTTTTTAACAGGGGTTATTTCCTGGAAAAAGAGGTGCAGGGGCTCATTAGCGTAACTCATTAGCATATACCACACCCCCTGGCATCACTGGAAGTGTGTCAGAAGGCAACACCCACCGCTCAGGCTCCACTGGACTGTTTTGGATTGCTAGCTATTGGGGGGGGGGCATGCAGATCTTTCCTCGCAGAGGAGGGAGAGCTTGCACCTGAATAAAACTTGGTCTTAAAGATGCCCCTGGACTGTTTTGGATTGCTAGCTATGGGGGGGGGAATGTGCAGATCTGCCCTCACAGAGGAGGGAGAGCTTGTCCCTGAATAAAACTTGGTCTTAAAGGTGCCCCTGGACTGTTTTGGATTGGGGGAGCTCTGCAGCTTACCTGGCTGCTTCTCGCTCTGACTGAGGGCTGCTGGGAGCAGGGGGTGTGGCTTGTTGCATGTGCCCGCCCCCTGGGCTCTTTACTGCCGGAGCTCCGCTCCTGTGCGCTCCTGCAGGAAATGACCTTTGCTTTGTAAAAGCGCAGTCCGTCACACCTTCCCTCTCCGATTATGACCCTTTCAGGTGACACACAGAGCAAAGTCCAGCCTCACGCTAATTCTGGAGGAGAACCTAATAAAGATGGCGTTGACAACCAGCGTCGTGGTATCTGGGAGATCTTGGGGTAAGGGTGGACTGTAAACATGAAAGAGAGCTTGGGGTAAGGGTGGAGTGTAAACTAAATATGAGCTTCTAGTGTCCTGGCCCCACTGCTGGACCTCCTGACGGCACCTGGTCTTTTTCGCCACTGTGTGACACAGAGTGCTGGACTGGAGGGACCGTTGGCCTGATCCAACATTGGCTTCTCATATGTTTGTAGCAGTCAGTGTGATGCAAGATGGTTAATAATTATATTCACATAAACACAATCAGACATATATACAAAGTATAGATTCAATCAGGACCATTAAATAAATTGTTCAAAAGTAAAATCACCAGGCACGGGGTAAATATGCACATAAGACAGGGTAAATATGCACATAAAGTGCAATCACTAGCCCAGTGATTATAATATTGGCCCTCCTTTTCACTAACCTTTGTTTGGTTCTGGAGTTTCTTGTAAGGTTCACACAGCGAACATCTGCCTCCCGTCCCTAACCATTGTAAATCCCTTTAAACCGTTGCACTCTGCCACTAGGTCCCTACTTAAAGGAGTGTCCAGAACAGCTTACAATCGCCTTCCCTTCCTCTCCCCACAACAGACACCCTGTGAGGTCGGTGGGGCTTAGAGAGCTCTGAGAGAACTATGACTGACCCAAGGTCACCCACCTGGCTGCATGTGGAAGAGTGGGGAATCAAACCCAGTTCTCCAGAGTAGAGTTCGCCGCTCTTAACCCCTACACCAGACTGGCTCTCAGGGTTTTTTGTTTTGCTTTTCAATACTACAGGCATCATTCTGTGGTTTAACCCTGAGAATCATTTCTGTGTGTGTGCGTGGGGCTCAAATCTCTTTTCGCTTACATATTTTTTCAAGAAGTGTTGAGGTAGGGTGCCGAATCTCACCGATGTGAGCCAGTTTGGTGTAGTGGTTAAGTGCACGGACTCTAATCTGGGAGAATCGGGTTGGATTCCCCACTCCTCCACTTGCAGCTGCTGGATGACCTTGGGCAAGCCGTAGCTCTGACAAGAGCTGTTCTTGAAAAAGAGCAGTTTCTGTCAAGAGCTCTCTCGGCCCCACCTCCCTCACAGGGTGTCTGTTGTGGGGAGGGGAAGGGAAAGGCGTTTGTGAACCACTCTGAGACTCTTTTGGGTAGTGAAGGGCGGGGTATAAATCCAATCTCCTCTTCTCTCAAGAGCAGTCCTCGAAAGAGCTCTCTCAACCCCACCTGCCTCACAGGGTGTCTGTTGTGGGGAGGGGAAGGGAGAGGCGTTTGTGAGCCGCTCTGAGACTCCCTTGGGTAGTGAAGGGCCATGGGGTATAAATCCAATCTCTTCTTCTTATTCTTTTACCTCACAGGGTGCCTGTTGTGGGGAGGGGAAGGGAAAGGAGTTTGTCAGCCGCTTTGAGACTCCTCTGGCTAGTGAAGGGCGGGGTATAAATCCAATCTCCTCCTCCTCCTCCTGAAAAGGATCTTAGGTAGATCATGAGAGGGAGGGCAGGGAGGGTTGTCTCAGTGCTTAGTTCTCGCAGCCCTTTCTTACACGCCTAGGGAAATGCTGATCGCCACTTTGGGGGCCAGGGGGGCATTTTTCTCCAGGCCAGTGATCCTGGAGGGTTTTTTTGTCATCTTCTGGGCATGGAGCAGGGGTCTCTGAGGGTGTGGGGGGTAAAGGTATTTGTGAATTTCCTGCCTTGGGCAGGGGGTTGGACTAGATGACCCTGGAGGTCCCTTCCAACTCTGTGATTCTATCTCAGGCACGCTAGGAGCAGTGTTCCCTCTAAGCTGAGTCAGTGTGAGCTAGCTCACAGTTTTTTAGCCTCTGGCTCACACGTTTTTTTGTCTTAGCTCAGGAAGGGAAGGTTCCGAAGCAAACTAATTTATGCAGTCGCCAGATCGTTCGCTCACAGCTTTAATGCCGGCAGCTCACAAAGTAGAATTTTTGCTCACAAGACTCCGCAGCTTAGAGGGAGCAGTGGCCAGGAGATGTGGGATAAAGGTAAAGGTTCCCTTGCTCAAAAGCCAGTCAAATCCGACTCTAGGGTTGCGGTGTTCATCTCCGTTTCAAAGCCGAAGAGCCAGCGCTGTCCAAAGACATTTCCGTGGTCACGTGGCCGGCATGACTAAACACCAAGGCGCACGGAACGCTGGTACCTATTTATCTACACCTCCAAAAAAAAAAAAAATTCAGACAGAAACTGTGTGCCTGTTCCCAGTTCTACAGACACACCAGCAAGTCTACGACACCGTCCAAAACAACCCCCTTCGAAGAGAAAGGCCCTGAATAATAGAGAAGGTGGACAAATACCATTCAGGGCAACTCTTGAGGCGTGATAAAACCCATCATCTCCAGTGTTTATGGACTTTACATTCCATCCTGAAGCTGTGCCGAGTTAGTCAGTGCTTTTTCTCTGCCGCCCTTTTCGAACTCTTGCCTCGGTGTTCTCGACATCCCGCTCTTCTCCACAGCAAAATTTACCTCACGGTGGCAAACCCTCTGGCCTTTACACGCGCTACCATGTGTTTTAACAGATGGAGACGGATGTGGGGAAGGTTTTATTTAAAAGATCCTGTTTCCCCCCCCGCTGCCCCCCCCAAGTTAGGAGCTTGTGTGGGCATCACCCCCTGCCCTCACAGCTTCCAGAGAAATAACTAGAAAAAGCAGTTGGTATTAGAGATGTAAAATTTCCAGAAATTTTGAAGTTTGGAAAAAACCCCAGGTTTTTTCCTTTTTTTTTCCCAGGGGAAATAGAAAATTTCGGGAAAATTGGGAAAAAAAAGCTACATTAGCACTTCTTTTTTCTTTTCCAGATTGAAAGTGATTCTGTTACTTTAGGAACATAAAATATGACTATGGACATTTTTACTTGGCATGAAATTATCACAACTAGCATATAAAAAATATAGTGTATCCAAACATGCAAAAACAAAACCCTGAAACCTTTTTCTTTTCTTGTGACAACAGCACCCCCTAAAGGAAGAAATGCATCTTGTTCTTGCATTGGAGAGTTCAGTTTGTAACCCAGGACTTGCTTGTCCTCAGTGCACAGAAATTGGATCAATCTGAGACCATACGTATTTTTTAGAAATGATTTGGAAAATACCTGAACACTTTGTCTTTAAATATTTTATTCACCATGTTAAAATAAAATGTTCCATAATCTTTTTTTTTTCTTTTTTCAATTTTTGCCAATTTTTCAGAAAAAAATTAAAAAGGCTTCAGGAAAAAAATGGGGAAAAACCAGTTTCCCCCCCAAATTTTTCCGGTTTCCCCCCGGATCTTTACATCTCTAGTTGGTATGGAAGTTACCAGAAGAGGCCTTCCTTGGCAGGAACCAGCAATCCTTCTCACTGTGAATTGCGCACTCAAGCACACGCACCGTCCCAATCCCCACGAACCGGAACTGAGCGCCACCTCAGCTGTGGTTTGCGCTAACCTGACTCGCTTTTCCCTGGCAAGCCCCCACCATGTTATAAAAGGCAGAGCTTTCTGATATAGTACGTAGGGTCAGGTACAAACAGAATTCAGCGGCATCTCTAGCAACAGTTTCCGGGGATGGGGAGAGGCCGAAAGAAACGTTCCAAACCCCCGAGTGCTGCAGACGGCCTTGCTCCCTCCCGTGCTGAAAACGTAACCGCAGTCCACTCCCTCCAGGCCACTCTTTCGTTCCGGTTCTCTGGGCCCGGATGGAAGGCGCCAAGTTCTCCGAAGGCGAGCGCTCCAACGTCGACGCCGCTACGGAAGAGTCGTTCTTATCGGCGGACTTTCCTCCCCCTCTCCTTCGACAACAGGGCATCCTGGCGAAGCGTTTCCAGATTCAAGCCAGGTGCAACAAGAGGTTTTGGTAGTTCTGCGGGAGGGCGATGACCTCCTCCGCGGATTCCAGCGTCTCCACCACTTCCGGAGAAACCGTCAGCCATGTCAGAGGGCCGAGGCGCCGTTCCACGCAGCTGTGGCAGAGGTAGCCCCCGGGGTCTTTGGCGCCGTCGCTCTGTTGGGAAAGAAGTTTAGAGAGACAATGACCCCTGATGCGTCTTTACTGATCAGGAACACATGTGCCTGTGTTAGGGTTGCCAATATCCAGGTGGTAAATACAACAAATAACAAACACTGGGACACTGCAGGGCTCTTTTTGTAGCAGGAACACCTTTGCATATTAGGCAACACACTCCTAAAGTCGCCAATCCTACAAGAGCTTACGGTAGCCCCTGTGAAAAGAGCTCTGTAAGCTCTTGGAGGATTGGCTACATTGGGGGTGTGTGGCCTAATATGCAAAGGAATTCCTGCTACAAAATGAGCCCTGGATGAATGACTAGGACAGTGGTGGCGAACCTATGGCACAGGTGCCAACTCAGAGCCCTCTTTGTGGGCACACGTGCCATCGCCCCAGCCAGGCCCAGACCATCATTAAAGTGTCGAATTCTCTGCCAAATAATTTTAAGTAAGTAAAAGCATTTGGGATTGCTTTCCTTACTTTGTTTGGATTATCTTAAGTTAATGTATGAGTTGTTTTTTCTAAAGTAAAACCTCAGTATTCAGGTTAAATTGCCATGTTGGCACTTTGCGATAAATAAGTGGGTTTTGGGTCGCAGTTTGGTCTCTAAAAGGTTCGCCATCACTGGACTAGGACATTTAGTAAAGATCATTTTGTATAATAAGTCAACTTTGCAAAAATAACAAGGAACAGTCCATCTCACTCTCAATACAACTTTTCACAATTACAAGGAAAGTCCATCATACTCAACAAGCACCCGGATATACACTCATTTCATCCCAATCTTCCTCAGGAGCAATCCCACTGTATAGCATGTTATCAGCCTCTTGACATAGTTCAATGTCTGTCGATAGTAAACCAATGCTTAAAATCTTCTTTATTTTCTGCACTTGATCCTAGGGGAAAAAATCCACGGCATTTAAAATGAAAAGAAGCATGCAGCTGAATGGAATATTCTTCTTATTTTATCTTCTTGATTTATACATTCTTAGCTGAAGTGGTTTAGTTTTTTTAGAACTTACTTGGGGTTCCATTTCGAGTGTTAGTATTAGGAGCAAGCCAGTCTTCTCCTTTTAATTAGGTGCACAGGCCTCCTATATTCTGGACTGGACAGGTGCTACCCCTATAAATATTTTTGCAGCGTTTCATGGAGAGCATTTCAGCCGGCAGAACCAGCGTTTCAGCCAGCAAAAAAAAAAAAAGAACCACTTGAGCTTATTGCATATGATCGACTTTCTTTGTAATTGTGTAAAGTTGTATTGAGAGTAAGATGGGACAGTTTCTTGTTATTTTGCAAAGTTGACTTATTATACAAAAGGATCTTTACTAAATGCAGGGGTCATTTCCTGCGGGAGCGCACAGGAGCGGAGCTCCGGCAGTAAAGAGCCCAGGGGGCGGGCACATGCAAAAAGCCCCGCCCGCTGCTTCCAGCAGCCCTCAGTCAGAGCAAGAAGCAGCCAGGTAAGTTGCAGAGCCTCCCCCCAGGCCCCCGTCCAAAACAGTCCAGTGGCACCTTTAAGGCCAAGTTTTATTCAGGGACAAGCTCTCCCTCCTCTGCAAGGACAGATCTGCACGTTCCCCCCTTCCCCCAATAGCTAGCAATTCAAAACAGTCCAGTGGCACCTTTAAGACTATCAGAACTACGGCTTGCCCAAGGTCATCCAGCCAGGTGCAAGTGGAGGAGTGGGGAATCAAACCCGATTCTCCCAGATTAGCGTCCACGCACTCAACCACTACACCAAACTGGCTCCATGATACTATGGCCTCTGTTGCCTGTCAAAGGAATAAGGACTGTAGGATAACTCCATCCCTTTTGTCTGAGACAGACTAACGGCAAGGGAAGATCAGACTAGCCCAATTTAGATATAAATTCCAACTTCAAGCTTATCTTCATTCCACTTTCCTTGTTTGGCCTGTCTTTCATGATTAATGTAAGCTGTTTGAGGAGTAGGGTTGTCAAACTCAGGGTGGTCTCTGGGCGACAGAGATCGGTTCCCCCTGGAGAAAATGGCTGCTTTGGGAGACGGGCTCTATGGCACGATACCCCCTTGAAGTCCCTCCTTTCCTCAAACCCCGCCCTCTTTAGGCTCCACCCCCCAAATCCCCAGGTATTCGCCAACCTAAGGCTGGCCACCCTAGCCCAGGTACACAGAATACCATCTCTCCAGGGACATTTCTAATCGAGATGGAAGAAGAGACTGGATTTATACCCTGCCCCTCACTCGGAGCCTCAGAGCGGCTTACCATCTCCTTCCCCTCCCTAAAACAGACACCCTGTGAGGTAGGCGGGGCTGGGAGAGCTCTCCTGAGAACTGCCCTTGAGAGATGAGCTCTGAGAGAACTTGTGACTGACCCAAGGTCACACCAGCAGCTGCAAGTGGAGGAGTGGGGAATCAAACCCCGGTTCTCCCAGATTAGAGTCCACGCACTTCACCACGACACCAAACTGGCTAGTTTCAGAGGGTAACCATGTTGGTTTGCAGTAATGAATGAATTAATTATTGTGTGGAAGTGCGTGTAGTATAGGAAGAAAAACAAATCGGGTGCAATGTGAGAAGACTTACTGAATTTTTTTTAGATCCCTACGTGTTTCGTTGTAGGCTTCGTCAGGGGATCTTCAACAGAGTTTTTCAAGTTTTGCCTTCATTATTCAAGGTGGAGCTTGAAAAACTCCACAGAAGACCTCCCGATGAAGCCTAAAGCGAAACGCGTAGGGATCTAAAACACATCAATAAATGTTCTCACCTTGTACCTAGAGATGTAAAATTTCCGAAAATTTTGAAGCTCGGAAAAAACCCCAGTTTTTTTCGGGGGGAAACGAACATTTTCGGAAAAATTGAGAAAAATGCCACATTCGCACTTCTTTTGTCTTTTCCAGATTGAAAGTCATTCTGTTACTTTAGGAACATAAAATATGACTATGGACATTTTTACTTGGCATGAAATTATCACAACTAGCATATTAAAAATATAGTGTATCCAAACAATTATTACAAACAGAATACCCACCCACATGCAAAAACAAAACGGAAACTTTTATTTTCCTCTGACAGTCGCACCTCCTAAAGGAAGAAATTCATCTTGTTCTTGCATTGGAGAGTTCAGTTTGTAACCTAGGACTTGCTTGTCCTCAGTGCACAGAAATTAGATCAATCTGATACCATATATATATATATTTTAGAAATGATTTGGAAAATATTTGAACACCTTGTCTTAAAATATTTTATTCATCATGTTAAAATAAAACGTTCCATAATCAATTTTTTTTGCTTTTCTTTTTTCAACTTTTCCAATTTTTCGGAAAAAAACAAAAAAGGCTTCAGGAAAAAAACAGGGGAAAAAACGTTTCCCCCCCGAATTTTTCGGGTTTTTTTCCGGGCCTTCACATCTCTACTTGTACCTGGTTTGTTTTTTTCCTGCCTACTGGTGCAGCCATGATTTCTCCAGTGTGTGTCGTATAGCCAGGTGATCCTAAGATTGTCTGGCAGCCAGAAGTTCCAGCTCTTTTAGTGTTATGTGCCACTAGGTGGCGAGCTAGACTTGTTTTTGACGCAAGAGACGTTTCAGAGGGGGTTTGCTGTTGCCTGCCTCTGTGTCATGCCCCTGGCATTCGATCACCTATCACCTGATCTCTTTTAACTGGAGACGCCAGGGAGTGAACCTGGGACCTTCTGCATCGCAAAGCAGAGGTCCTTCCACTGAGCCATGGCCCCGCCCAATAAAATAAATAAAGCAAAAGGGATGACAGAGGCTGGAACAGACGCAAGTATGAGCCGCTGTTGACTACCAGAGCCAAGAAAATAGTTCGGAAGCAGGTCCTCCTACAATCATTAACTACGGCAGGCCGCTCCAGTTCCGCAGGGCTGGATAACATACAACGCTCAGCAAACAGTGGGACGGGACAGTGTGTGTGTGTGTGGGGGGGGGGACGACGAAAGGTGCTGCTCATAAGAACATAAGCAACAATCTCATAAGGACGTAACAATCTCATAAGAACATAAGCAACAATCCCTCGGCAACAATCTCTCAAGTGCACAGCTGAGCAAACAGGACACCTACGTAAGCAAACGGCCTCTTCTTCATGGTCAGGAAAGAGTCGGCAGGAATGGAATTGTGGCACCCCCGGACAGAGCACGGAACTGGCTCCCCCTTGAAGATGTCGCTGGTCAGCTCTGGCCTTAAGTAATACTCCTGGAAAGGAGACAAGACATTGATGGGAGGGGGGAATACACGAGACCGTGGTTTCTGAGCAGCAGCTCCCTTTGGTTTGGGGAGAGACACACTGTCAGAAGAGCCCTGCTGGATCCAACTGGCGGTCCATCTAAGAAGAAGAGATTGGATTTATACCCCGCCCTTCACTACCCAAAGGTGTCTTAGAGCGGCTCACAAACTCCTACCCCTTCCCCTCCCCACAACAGACACCCTGTGAGGTACGTGGGGCTGAGAGAGCTCTAACAGAAACTGCTCTTTTTCGAGAACAGTTCTTATCAGAACTATGGCTTGCCCAAGGTCGTCCAGCCAAGTGCAAGTGGAGGAGTGGGGAATCAAACCCGGTTCTCCCAGATTAGAGTCCCCGCACTTAACCACAACACCAAACTGGCTCTCTAGTCCAGCATCCTGTCTCATGTAGGGGCCGACCAGTTCCTCTGGATGGCCAAGAACAGGGCAGAGAGGCTGAGGCCTTCATAAGAACATCAGAAGAGCCCTGCTGGATCAGACCAGTGAGGGTCCATCTAGTCCAGCCTCCTGCCTCACACAGTGGCCAACCAGTTCCCCTGGAGGGCCAACAACAAGGCAGAGAGGCCGAGGCCTTCCGAACTTCGGAAGAGCCCTGCTGGATCTCCCTGCTGGATCTGAGCAATGGTCCATCTACTCCAGCATCCTGTCTCACACAGCAGCTGGGGGGGGGGCAACAGTGGGAGGGCTTCTAGTGTCCTGGCCCCACTGGTGGACCTCCTGATGGCACCTGGTATTTTTGGCCACTGTGTGACCCAGAGTGTTGGACTAGATGGGCCATTGACCTGATCCAACATTGGCTTCTCTTGTGTTCTTATGTTCCTCTGGAGGGTGAACAAAAGGGCATAGAGGCCAAGGCTTTCATAAGAACCTAAGAAGAGCCCTGCTGGCCCGTAGTACAGTGGTGCTTTGGGGGGCTCTGCCCCCTTTCTTAAAGGCTCAGCCCCACAAGAATTTCTCCTGTCAATGTCTTTTTCAATCATTTAAAAACTTTTTTAAAGGTGTGAGATCCTTTAAGCAGAGCGGGGTGCTGTAGTTGACTAATTCTCGCACTGAGCAAGGGGGTTGGAGTAAGTGACCTCTGGGGTCCCTTCTAACTCTGTGTTGCTTAGGCTGGCAGGAGCGATTAACTTGCAGCAGCTGAGAACTGTCCTCTAAACTGGTTGACAGCTTGCAATTTAGAGATCTATCCTGGTAACAGCTTTCTATTGATGAAATGGCTTTTCTTTCTGCACTGAGGACTTCGGCCCTGCCAGAAAATTGCTCCACAACCCACAATATTCTGGCTACGGGCCCGCGTAGCAGTCCAATGCATTCGGGAAATACCCTGCCACGTATTTTATCAGCTCCTCCGAGTGTCACTTTGGTGACGTCCGCAAAAGACCCTCCTGAGTTGCAGCCGGAGGGGTGGGGGGATGGTTTTAACTCACCCCAGCCAACGTCAAGAGGTGACACAGAAACTGCGGCATGACGAGACGCCTCTTGGCACGGGTCACCGCGACGTAGAGCAAATTCCATTCATCGGCAGGGATTCTGTCTGCAGGGAGATTCAAGACAGACAGATGGACTGGGGGGTAGACCGGACAATGAAAGACTGGCTGAAAAAAACACTGTATTTCTTAGGAAGGGGTGGCTGCGAAATTACTTCCTCCACTGATTCTTCTTGAGGAAGAGGAGGAAGAGGAGGAAGAGGAGGAAGAGGAGGAAGAGGAGGAAGAAGAGGAAGAGAAGAGGAAGAGGAGGAAGAAGAGGAAGAGGAAGAGGAAGAGGAAGAGGAAGAAGAAGAAGAAGAAGAAGAAGAAGAAGAAGAAGAAGAAGAAGAAGAAGAAGAAGAAGAAGAAGAAGAAGAAGAAGAGGAGGAGGAGGAGATTGGATTTATACCCCGCCCTTCACTACCCAAAGGTGTCTCAGAGCGGCTTACAAACTCCTTTCCCTTCCCCTCCCCACAACAGACACCCTGTGAGGTGGGTGGGGCTGAGAGAAATCTGACACAAACTGCTCTTTTTCAAGGACAGCTGTGCCAGAGCTTGTGACTGACCCAAGGTCACATCAGCAGGTGCAAGTGGAGGAGTGGGGAATCAAACCCGGTTCTCCCAGATTAGAGTCCACGCACTTAACCACGACACCAAACTGGCTCTCAGGAGGAACAGGAGGAGGAGCAGAACATGGAGAAGAATTCAGTGTAGATAATTCAAGATGGGTCTCTCTGTGGCGGCAGAAAAAGAGGAGGAGTCCAGGAGCACCTTAAAGACTAACAAAATGTATGGCAGGGGAGGAGCTTTCGTGAGTCACTGAAGAATCTGCAGAAATGAACAGCGACTCCTGGAAGCTCCCGCCCTCCCACAAATTTTGTTAGTCTTTAGAGAGAAGAAGAGAAGAGATTGGATTTATACCCCCACCCTTCACTCAGAGTGGCTGACAAACGCCTTTCCCTCCCCCTCCCCACAACAGACACCCTGTGAGGGAGGTGGGGCTGAGAGAGCTCTCTTGAGGACTGCCCTTGAGAGAACAGCTCTGACAGAACTTGTGACTGACCCAGGGTCACACCAGCAGCTGCATGTGGAGGAAGGGGGAAGAGAGGAAGAAGAGCAGGGGATTGGATTTACATCTCGCCCTTCTCTCGGAGTCTCAGAGCGGCTTACAGTCTCCTTTCCCTCCCCCTCCCCACAGCAGACACCCTGTGAGGGAGGCGGGGCTGAGAGAGCTCTGTCGAGGACTGCCCTTGAGAGAACAGCGCTGACAGAACTTGTGACTGACCCAGGGTCACACCGGCAGCTGCATGTGGAGAAGTGGGGAATCGAACCCGGTTCTCACCCAGAGTCCGTGGCTCCTAACCACAACACCAAACTGGCTCTTTAAGGTGCCCCTGGACTCTTGCTCTTTTCTCTTTTCTCCTGCTAAGGATTCAGGGACTGAGCACACGCTTTCCACACAGAAGATCCAGGGTTCGATTCCTGGCAGCCTCCCCACTTTCAGGATCACACGGGAGAGACGCTGCCAGTCGGTATCGTGCTACAAGGACCGGCTGTCTGACTAGGGCAGCTTCAATGATTCCACAGACTGGGGGGACGGGATACACTTAAGAAAGATTAACTTACCAACATGGAAGGCTGGGAGCCTGCTGAGGTTGTGCCGCTCTAAAGGGACGGTCACAAAGTCATTGGCCACTTGGACGGTGTCAAACTCAAGCCCTTTGGCCTTATGGACGGTCCCCAGGACAAACTCTAGAATGTAAACCAAACACATGAAGCCCACGAAACAAATCGTGAAGCTTGAAAAGGGCTATGTCTGTACAGAAACAGCTGCAGCAACTTTCAGTGCCTTATAATTATTGATTACGACTACCACCGCCAATGCTGGTACCATGGCACAGTGGGAGAATCAGAAGATGAACAGACATTAGAGGCATGCTCATGAGCCATTGGCAGGTTCTTTGATTCAGCACAGCTAGGACATCAGAAGAGCCCTGTTGGATCAGACCTATGGTCCATCTAGTCCAGTATCCTGTTTCACTCGGTGTCCAACCAGTTACTATGGAGGGTCAACAACAGGGCATAGAGGCCGAGGCCTTCATAAGAACATTGGAAGAGCCCTGCTGGATCAGACCAGTGAGGGTCCATCCAGTCCAGCATCCTGTCTCACACAGTGGCCAACCAGTCACTATGGAGGGCCAACAACAGGGCAGAGAGGCCGAGGCCTTCATAAGAACATCAGAAGAGCCCTGCTGGATCAGACCAATGAGGGTCCATTCAGTCCAGCCTCTGTCTCACACAGTGGCCAACTAGTTACTATGGAGGGCCAACAGGGCATAAAGGCCAAGTTTTCATAAGAACATCAGAAAAGCCCTGATGGGTCAGACCAGTGGTCTTTCCTGTCCAGCATCCTGTCTCACACAGTGGCCAACCAGTTCCTCTGGAGTTCCAAAAACAGGGCACAGAGGCTGAGGCCTTCATAAGAACAGAAGAGCCCTGCTGGATCAGACCAGTGGTCCATCTAGTCTAGCATCCTGTCTCACTCAGTGGCCAACCAGGTCCTCTGGAGGACCAACAACAGAGCATAGAGGCCGAGGCCTTCATAAGAACATTGGAAGAGCCCTGCTGGATCAGACCAGTGAGGGTCCATCCAGTCCAGCATCCTGTCTCACACAGTGGCCAACCAGTTCCTCTGGAGTTCCAACAACAGGGCACAGAGGCTGAGGCCTTCATAAGAACAAAAGCCCTGCTGGATCAGACCAGTGGTCCATCTAGTCCAGCATCCTGTCTCACAAAGTGGCAAACTAGTACCTCTGGAGGACCAACAACAGGCCAGAGAGGCCGAGGCCTTCACAAGAACATTGGAAGAGCCCTACTGGGTCAGACCAGTGGTCCATCCAGTCCACCATCCTGTCTCACTCAGTGGCCAACCAGGTCCCCTGGAGGACCAACAACAGGGCATAAAGGCCGAGGCCTTCATAAGAATATCAAAAGAGCCCTGCTGGATCAGACCAGTGAGGGTCCATCTAGTCCAGCATCCTGTCTCACAGTGTGGACAACCAGTTCCTCTGGACGGCCAACAACAGGGCAGAGAGAATGAGGCCTTCCCCTGAGGTTGCCTCCTGGCTCTGGGATTGAGGATCACTGCCTCTGAATGTGGATGTTCCCCTTCAGTCACCATGGCTACTAGTCACTGATAGACCTCTCCTCCATGGATCAGTCTAATCCAGGGGTCTCCAGCATGGTGCCTGTGGGCGCCATGGCAACCGCCCACACCTTTCCTGGTGCCTGACCAGTGTTGTTGAGAAAGTGGGTGGGGCCAGGTAGTGCTTCCGCTCAGCAAGGCTTCTGATTGGTTGTGCTTTTTTTTTTTTACATGTCACTTTGGCAGCAACTGCCCCCACAGCACAAGATCTACACTGTGTTACTGAGGTTAAGCTGTGGCCATCGCTTTGTGGCTGGCTCCGCCTCCCGCAGCAGCCATTTTGTGGCAACCATTTCATTGCGGTGCCCGCCATGCCGTGTCGGATTTCCAAATCTGCCCACGGGCTCAAAAAAGTCAGGGAGCCCTTCTCTAATCCCCCTTTTAAGGATGCTTATTCCTGTGGCCATCACTACATCCTGAGGCAGCGTGTTCCACATCTTCAAGCCAAGTCAAGTCAGCCTTTACTGGCATAAATTATCAGAACCATTTATACATTTTAAAACCAGTTAAAAGCACATATATAAGAATTTGGCGCAGCTTTAAAGCCAAGCAGAGAAACTTAGCCACCTTCTCTGTAGTGTCCGGGCAGAGATCTCTTAAAAGTCTATTCACCTTAAGTGCATCAGAGCAAGCACCCATACTGGTTAAAAGAGAGTGTAAATATGTAATCCTTAAGAAAATAAGAACATAAGAGACGCCAATGTTGGATCAGGCCAAAGGCCCATCCAGTCCAACACTCTGTGTCACACAGTGGCCAGAAATACCAGTGCCATCAGGAGGTCCACCAGTGGGGCCAGGACATTAGAAGCCCCCCCACTGTTGACCCCCCCCCCAAGCACCAAGAAGACAGAGCATCACTTGCCCCAGAGCCCCTATCTATACCTTGTGGCTAATAGCCACTGATGGACCTCTGCTCCAGATGCTTATCTAATTCCCTTTTGAAGCCGTCCATGCTTGTAGCTGCCACCACCTCCTGTGGCAGTGAATTCCATGTGTTCATCACTCTTTGGGTGAAGAAGGACTTCCTTTTATCCGTTCTAACCCGACCGCTCAGCAGTTTCATGGAGTGCCTAAAAGTTCTTGTATTGTGAGAAAGGGAGAAAAGTACCTCTTTCTCTACCTGCTCTTTCCCATCCTTAAGTCCATATACAGGTTACAATGCAGGAGAACATGAGTGACAGATTCCACGCATTTCTTCCTGCATGGGCAGTCTCTGGCCAGATGAGAAACCTTGTTGAATCTGCCGGATAAGATGGCGGACGGCATGGCATTGCATCTGGCCAGGTTGAACGCCCTACGTTGTTGAGGGACCTGCAGAGAGGAGCAGGTTTTATTGGCTAAACTATATAAATTTTGGCGCTCCGAGTCTAGCAACCTGTTTTTAATCTGTTGGAATGCAACCACAAAGGGCAACATGGACAATGTCCCATATCTTAATCGCTCACGGAGGAGATAGTTACTAGAACACAGACAGAAAAGGGGAATGGCCTTGAAGAGGTGGCCATGGGCAGAATTCCTCTTTCAGAGTCCCCAAAGGGGGCCCTCGTCCCACCCCTCTGACCAAAGTCACGCTCTCTTTTACCTGCGGCCTCAGGCGTGGGCGTGTGGCACTGCGATATCCTGTCCAACAGCAGAGGGAAGGAGGGAGAGTATTTCTCCACAATCGCGATCTTGATCTCCAGCTGTTTATCTTCTGCACGCATGGCGTAGTCCCTTAAAGCCAGGTAGCCTTTCCCCAGCCACCGTCTCACGAAAGGGTCCTTCACCTCGAACTTCACTGAGGACACACAATGGGGGACCGAATGAACATGGCACTGCCTGTCGCCAAGAACACGGGGATGCCCCGGAAAATGGAAGCTGTGACTTCTATAGTCAAGAAAGCTAGCACTTAGGCAGAAAGAAACTCTTAAAGGAGACCAGTTTCTTGACACCAAACTAGAAGGGATCCTAGAGGTCACCCACTCCAACCCCCTTGCTCAGTGTGGGAATTAGTCAACTACAGCACCCCACTCTGCTTGAAGGGATACACAGCTGTGTAATGATTTCATGTTTTGGTGTATGCGTTTCTTTAAATGTTTAGTTTGACCGCAGAAATGTAAGGAGAGTGATAGAGGGAAATAAGTGTGGTGTGATTGGCTGATGACTGAGAATGTGAGAGGAGGGGTGTCTCTGAGGCGATTCTGTGTTCCAGAAGAGACAAGAATGGAGAATGTTTGTTTTTCACCTGTATGGCAGAAGAAGTTTGAATCTAGCATGAATGGCTGAGAGAGGCAGAGTCTAGCCTGTGTGGCTAAGACAAAGAGTTTAGCCTGTGTGGCTATATGAGGAACAGAGTTTAGCCTGTCAGAGCTGAGTTTTGGTGTTTGAGAGACTGTGTGTGACGCCAAGCTTTGTCAATTATATTTTCTTTCTTCAACAACAGTTCAAAATGCCAAGAAACCTATTTTGTTCTTTTATAAATAAATCATTATTTGTTTAAACTTATCCCAGAAATCAGTACAGTCCTTCCTCAGGGCCACATAGTCCTCTGAAATGCCCAGGCACTAGGTCATTCTACCAAATTAGAGAGATTTGGAATTTTTAAATTCCTGGTGGCAGCAGAAATCTACTAAGATCATGTGCACAGAGTGTGTTTTAAAGGAGAAATAGTCTCCCCAATAAGCAAGGATCTCACAGGGTGCTTTGGAGGGTGGACTCTACGAGCTTATGGTCCCTCCCAACCCCGGGCTCCACTGAGAGAACTTGAGACTGGCCCAAGGTCACCCAGGTGGCTTCATGCGGAGAGTGCAGAATCGAACCTGGTTCTCCAGATTAGAGCCTGTCGCTCTTAGCCACCATGCCACGCTGGCTCGCTGGGAATCCAGAAAGAAAGTGGGATGCTGCAACCGTCCCTCATGAACACCAAATCTGGGGGATACTCACGTTTGGGATGGAGGAGGTACCAGATATCCCGAATCTGATCCAGGCGGAAGGCTTCAAGACCCTAACAAAACAGAGGGAGAGAGGGAGGGAGAGGGAGAGGGAGAGAGGGGGGGGGACGGTTCATGCAGCTTTAGTTGGAATTTCCAGACAAACTGCTTCCTGAGAAGGCCTCAACTATGTAAATGTCCTGGAGGGAGGGAGGGAGGGAGGGGGAGGGAGAGAGAGAGAGGGAGGGAGAGAGAGAGAGAAAGGGAGAGGGAGGGAGAGAGGGAGGGAGAGAGGGAGAGGGAGGGAGAAACACACCTGAATTTTACAGCAGTAAACGTTATTGACAGCCTAACACTTGTATTTATTTTCTTACACTGCTTTTATGGTCTCCCTTTCTCGCTGATATTTCAGAGGGTAGCCGGGTTGGTCTTCAGTAGAGCATCTACATTTGAGTCCGGGAGCATCTTCGAGACCCACAAGATTTTTGAGGTAGGAGCTTTTGAGAGTCAAAGCTCTTGCATCTGACGAAGTGAGCTCTGACTCTCAAAAGCTCATACCCCCAAAAAATCTTGTTGCTCTCTAAGGTGGTCCCGGACTCAAATCTAACGTTCTTACTGTGACTCAAAGCAGATCAGGTAAAGGTTTTCCCTTGCTCGAAAGCCAGTCGAATCCGACTCTAGGGATGCGGCGCTCATCTCCGTTTCCAAGCCAAAGAGCCAGCGCTGTCCGAAGACGTTTCCGTGGCCATGTGGCCGGTGTGACTAAACGCCGAGGCGCACGGAACGCTGTCGCCTCCCCACCGAAGGGGCCCCTATTTATCTACTTGCAACTTCTTGCTTTCGAACTGCTAGGTTGGCAGGAGCTGGGGCCAGAGATGGGAGCTCACTCCGTCACGCGGCACTCGGGTCTCGAACTGCCGAACTACCGACCTTCTGCTCTGCAGCTCAGCGTCTTAACCACTTGAGCCACCGCGGCCCCTGTCAAAGCGGATGAGGCACTGTAAATCCATGCCATCAAAATGCTGAGATATCGAGAAACCTGCATCAGCACAACGTATCAGACACGATACACAGTAGAGGTACACTGCAGAAAGACAGCATTACATCCAAAGAAAATGGCGCAGTTACAGCAGGGTAATATGTGCCACAAACAGGTAATCTGTTCTAGCTTCGTACGTTCGCTTCATATACTACCTTCTTGAACCACTCTGTTAGAGCAGAGCCCTGCCTACCTTCACACAAAAAGCCCTCCTGAACAACTCAATTTCGCATGTAGGAAAAAGCAAGAGTCCAGGAGCAACTTCAAGACTGGCAAAATCTGTGGCAGGGGAGGCGCTTTCCTGAGTCACTGCTCACTTCTTCAGATAATCTGATGATGTGCGCAGTGACTCGGGAAAGCACCTCCCCTGCCACAAGTTTTGCCAGTCTTTCAGGTGCTCCTGGACTCTGGCTCTTTGCTGCTGCTACAGACAAACAGGGCCGCCCATAAGAACATAAGAGAAGCCCATGTTGGATCAGGCCAATGGCTCATCCAGTCCAAGCACGAAGAAGACAGAGCATCATTTGCCCCAGACTGTGAGTTCCTATCTATACCTTGTGGCTAATAGCCACTAATGAACATAAGCCCCCTCATGGATCACTGCCTTGTCGTGGCGAGGGGGCTTGCGTGGCTCGATAAGGCTGTGGGCTATGCTGTGGAGGGCCACCCAAGACGGACAGGCCACAGCAGAGAATTCAGACCAAGCGTGATCCCCTGGAGAAGGAAATGGCAACCCACTCCTGTATCTTTGCCAAGAAAACCCCATGGACAGTATCAAAAGGCTAAAAGATATGACGCCGGAAGATGAGCCCCTCAGGTCGGAAGGTGTCCAATATGCTACTGGGGAAGAGCAGAGGGCAAGTACAAGTAACCCCAGAAAGAGTGAAGTGGCTGGGCCAAAGCCGAAAGGACGTTCAGTTGTGGATGTGTCTGATGGTGAAAGGAAAGTCCGATGCTGTAGAGAATAATACTGCATAAGAAACTGGAATGTAAGATCTATGAATCAAGGTAAGCTTGACGTGGTCAAAAATTAGATGGCAAGACTGAACAAACAAACAAAAAATGAACATAAGAACATGAGAGAAGCCAATCTTGGATCAGGCCAATGGCCCATCTAGTCCAACACTCTGTCACACAGTGGCCAGAAATACCAGGTGCCCTCAGGAGGTCCAGCAGTGGGGCCAGGACACTAGAAGCCCTCCCACTGTTGACCCCCCTCCAGGCACCAAGAATACAGAGCATCACTTGCCCCAGAGTCCCTATCTATACCTTGTGGCTAATAGCCACTGATGGACCTCTGCTCCATATGCTTATCTAATTCCCTTTTGAAGCCGTCCATGCTTGTAGCCGCCACCACTTCCTGTGGCAGTGAATTCCACGTGTCAATCACTCTTTGGGTGAAGAAGGACTTCTTTTTATCTGTTCTAACCCGACCGCTCAGCAATTTCATGGAGTGCCCATGAGTTCTTGTCTTGTGAGAAAGGGAGAAAGGGACTTCTTTCTCAACCTACTCTGTCCCATGCACAATCTTATAAACCTTGATCATGTCTTGATCTATCTCCATGGAAGGCACCACATTTAGCAGCACAGAATGGAAACACATCAACCATGCAAAGAAACTTGCACACGTTCAAGCAGACATCATCGTTGTGTCTGAGGAAGAAAGCAGTGACTCCCGAAAGCTCCTCCCCTGCCACAAATGTTGTCAGTCTTTAAGGTGCGGCTGGACGCTGGCCCTTTTCTACTGCTACAGACAGGCTAACATGGGTGCCTATCTGGAGCTACACTGAAAAAGTAGATAAAATGGGAACCACTCCTTAGAGAGGGTGGGCACGCCAATCTCCCTTGTGGGAGGGTGTTAGCTGACGGTCGGACGTCCTGACGGTCGAGGCTTGGAAGGCGAAATAGCTTCTCGGCTATAAAAGAATCCCTGCAGTGGATGTTCCGGCCAGGCGGTGGCAGTGTGGAAACTGACATACGGGTCCTGAAGCCTGGCCAACAAGCAGCCATGCGGAAATCGACGGAGCCAAGCCAGAAGACGTCTACACTGGGCAGTGACGGCGCTTGCAATTAAAAATGAATATATGTTGTCTTCCCTATCCCCTACAAACATTGTTAGTCCTTTCTCTATATTGAGTAACTGTACATCCCTCCCAGCTGGCCGCCCCCCTCCGCCGCCGCCCCCCCCAGCCTCGACAATTTTGCAGGTCATGGTGGCCAGCGGCAGGGGCCGCGGGGGAAGTTCCACTTGGCTAGGCTGCTTCACAGGGCAGCTGAGCGGGGCGGGAGCCGCTCTGGGCCGGACCCCTCGAGACTTGGGGTGTGACTGGATGGGTCACTGGATGGACCACTGGCCTGATCCAACATGGGCTTCTCTCATGTTCTTATGTTCTTAACCACAAACTGCTTAACCCCCTCAAACTGCTTAAGCGAGCCAGTTTAGTGTCGTGGTTAGAAGCGCAGACTCTAATCTGGGAGAACCGAGTTTGATTCCCCACTCCTCCTCCATATGTAACTGCTGGTGTGACCTTGGGTCAGTCACATGTTCTCTCAGAGCTGTTCTCTCAACGGCAGTCCTGGAAAGAGCTCTCTCAGCCCCACCTACCTCACAGGGTGTCTGTTGTGGGGAGGGGAAGGGAAAGGAGTTTGTAAGCCACTCCGCGCCTCCAAGTGAAGGGCAGTCTCTTCTTCTCTGCCCCCAGCCCCACCTGTGCCTTCCAGCACAAGAGCCAGTCACCGTCTGCTGTGCCAGCAACCACCCTTCCAAGCAAATGAGTGAGCAGGCAAGCAGTGGCAGTGGTTAGATGGAGACAGCATGGGTGCTGGCCAATCAGTCCTGTGCACGGGCAGCTAGTTTGGTGTAGTGGTGTAGTGGTTAAGTGCGTGGACTCTAATCTGAGAGGACCGGGTTTGATTCCCCACTCCCCCACATGCAGCTGCTGGTGTGACCTTGGGTCAGTCACATGTTTTCTCAGAGCTGTTCTCTCAGAAGCAGTTCTGTCAGAGCTCTCTCAGTCCCGCCTACCTCACAGGGTGTCTGTTGTGGGGAGGAGAAGGGAAAGGAGTCTGTAAGCTGCTCTGAGACTCCAAGTGAAGGGCGGGGTATAAATCCAATCTCTTCTTCTACTTTTTCTTCTGCATCCCCAGCCCCATCTGTGCCTCCCAGGGCAAGAGCCAGGCACCATCCACTTTGTCAGCAACCACCCTTCCAAGCAAATGAGTGAGCAGGCAAGCAGAGGCAGTGGTTAGATGGGAGACATCACGCATGCTGGTCAATCAGTCCTGTACACAGGCAGCTACTGCCGCCCACTTGCAAAATTTGTTTTGTTTTCAGAGCTCAGGCCTGGAGAGGAGTGGAAACGCTTGGGGGCTGGAATATTTATTTACTTCCTTTATACAATGAAGACCCAAAGTAGCTCCCATCCTTCTCCTTTCCTCCATTTTATCCTCACAACAACCTTATGAGGTAGGTCAGGCCGAGAGTGTGTGACTCACTCAAGGTCATCCAGCAAGATTCTACCGCAGAGCCAGGATTTGAACTCAGCTCCCCCAGATCCTCTTCCAACACCCTAACCTCTCTCTCCACACAGAATACGGTGATGATGCCTCCAAATTGTCCCAGCGGCGGCCGAAATATCCGTTTGGGCCCTTTCAGCTCCAACAGACTTCCTTCGTTTTCGGTCTTGGTGGCCCCTCGGGGCCCTCTTACCCCGATCAGGTGTATTTGAGCCGGCGGATCTTTTCTAGTGAGGTGCACGGCAGAATCAAAGATCATCTGGTTGCTCCGGCAAAGGATGGCTAACTTCCCTCTTGGCTCTTCCCCGGTGACGTCACCTGGCGAAAGTGCAGCAAAGCCAGGCTGAATCCAGAGAAAGCAGACAGACAGACACACCCTTCCCAAATGTGAGAACCGGCTTAAAGAGCTCACCCTCTTGAGTGCCCCCCACCAGGGTCTTGTTTCGAACCTTCTTGCAGATGTCTAGAATGGAAGCTCCGACGTACGCGATCTCAGGGCCAAATCGGAAACTCTACAGAAGAGGAGCAAACAAGGGGAAGGGGGGAAAAAATTCTAAAATACACTGTAAAAAAGTAAAGGTTCCCTTGCTCGAAAGCCAGTCGAGCGACTCTAGGGTTGCGGTGCTCATCTCCGTTTTAAAGCCGAAGAGCCAGCGCTGTCCGAAGACGTTTCAGTGGTCATGTGGCCGGCATGACCAAACACCAAGGCGCACGGAACGCTGTTCCCTTCCCACCGAAGTGGTACCTATTTATCTACTTGCAATGTCTTGCTTTCGAACTGCTAGGTTGGCAGGAGCTGGAACTAGAGACAGGAGCTCACTCCGTCATGCGGCACACTCAGGTCTCGAACTGCCGAACTACCGACCTTCCACAGCCTGCAGTTCAGCGTCTTAACCCCTTGAGCCACCGCAGCTCCTAAAATACACTGTAGTACTGAACAAAACCTCCGTCCCCCTCTCAACACCCCCCCCGACCTGAGCTGGACAGCCCAGGCTGGCCCAATTCCGTCAGATCTCAGAAGCTAAGCAGGCTGGCTGTGGCTAGGACTGGAAGGGAAACCTCCAAGGAATACCAGGGCCGTGACACTGTAGTATGAATGGGGATATAAAGATTTTTTTATATAGGTTTCTTCTTCTTGATTGCTCATATTCATATTTCTCTGGTTTTTATAGATTTATTCTTTAAGTAATATTTTATTAGGATGTTAGAAAGGCTATGCCTTAGGTCATGTCAAGTAAATATGTGACGCTATTGCATAGACACATCTTTCTTACATTTGACCAATAAGGAGATTTTTATGTAAATGTTGTTTACGTTTTTTGTAACCAATTATGCCTTTTGAATATTATTCCCATGATGATGGTATGATGATGTCATTTTAAGTATTTAACTTTATGTATTTCCTGAATATGTTCAAAATATGCTCAAGAGGAAGATGAAGAAGAAAAAGAAGAAAGTTGTCCATTTTTGGTTAACTATTTGGTCTAATTGTTTTCGTATTAATTGAGGCATGTTTCCTGATTATGCTGAGAAGAAATCAATCAGTTTTGGTGGGTCCTTTGGCCTAACTGTTTTCCATATTTCATTACAATAAAATACAAGAACTTCCTCCTCATTTGACTTCATTTTTGACATGGAATCTAATATGTACAACAACACAGAGGCAGGCAATGGCGAAGAAGAGAGAAGACATTGGCTTGCAATCTCCTTCCCCTCCCCACAACAGACGCCCTGTGAGGTAGGTGGGGCTGAGAAAGCTCTTTCGAGGACTGCTCTTGAGAGAACAGCTCTGAGAGGACCTTGTGACTGACCCAAGGTTACCCAGCTGGCTGCATGTGGAGGAGTGGGTAATCAAAGCCGGTTCTCCCAGATTAGAGTCTGCGCTCTTAACCGCTACACCAAACCACCTCTGAAATGTCTCTTGCCTAACAAACAAGTCTCGCTAGCCACCTAGTGGTACGTAACACTAAAGAGTGGTACGTAACACTAAACTTCCGGCTGCCAGACAATCCTAGGATCTCCTGGCTATACTTCACACAATGCCATATGATAAAAAGGAGACTGTAAGCCGCTCTGAGACTTAGAGCCAGTTTGGTGTAGTGGTTAAGTGCGCGGACTCTAATCTGGGAGAACCGGGTTGGATTCCCCAAACCTCCTCCATATGCAGCTGCTGGTGTGACCTTGGGTCAGTCACAAGTTCTCTCAGAGCTGTACTCTCAAGGGCAGTCCTCAA